AGGGAAATAGATGCTGGAGAGTCTGAGCCCTGTGCATAGCCCTGGACACTTCATGTGTGCCCCAGTGACTTTTATGGCTTTTACTGGTTTGGATAAAACTGCTGCTTGTGCCCATTCTGGGGCTGCTTCCTGGCTTTTAGGTATGCCCTGGGGAGCAGGACAGTTGAGTTGGCTGGCTGTGGAAGGGACAGTGGCAAGAAATACCTGCTCTTCCCGACAGCACCCAGCTGGGATTACTGGCAGTTTGAGCACTTGAAACATGGGTATCATTAGCTCGTTACTGTGTGCAGTGCAGACAGCGATTATCAAAGCTTTTTTGTTGACAAATTCTCCTTTTTTTTTCCTCTGCTCTTTTCCTTTTGATATCCCTCCYAATTAGACAAATGACCCTGTCACAAACATCTGCCACGCAGCTGACAAGCAGCTCTTCACTCTCGTCGAGTGGGCCAAGCGCATCCCYCACTTCTCTGACCTGACGCTGGAAGACCAAGTCATTCTCCTCCGTGCAGGTAGTGTCCCCACCTGGGCCAGCTCCTGTGACYCCTGTCCCTTCCCTGGGCTGTGTGCTGAGCCAGCCAGGCTGCATGGTGAATGTGAAATCCTGAGCTGATCCATTCCTGCTGTTGCACAGCCCAAACCTGTTCTGAGGCACGGTGAAGGTTGTGGATGGGGCAGTGGAATCTGTGATTTTTACCCCTCTTYATGCAGAGACAGAGGGCTGGGGGAGAGTGAATAAATGTTCCTGGTTGATGCAGTTCTTGTAACTGCAGATCCTATATGTGTGGGGCAAACAATGTGCAAAATGATGTAAAGGGGTTGCTGTTGCTAGGGATATGTTTTTAGAACGAAAACAGTGAATTTTCCTTCTTTTTTTAATTTTTTTTCCCCTTTGAGCCAATTTCTGCTCCTTGCTTGCTGCTGGTCAGGATCATAGACTCCTAGAATATCCTGAGTTTGATGATCCTTGTGGGTTCTTTCCAAGTCCAGCTCCTGGTTCTGCCCAGAACAGCCCCAAGAACCACACYCCATGCCTGAGAGCATTTCCCAAATACTTCCAAGGGACTGGCCTCCCCCTGCAGTGTACCTGGGGTCCCAWCTCTCCTCTGAGCTTTGCCTAAAGCCAGCAGGGAGAAACCAGCTCTGATTTTTGGCTGAACTCCTCACGTGTCCTGCGCTCTTCTGCCTGCAGGCTGGAACGAGCTGCTCATTGCCTCTTTCTCCCATCGCTCCGTGTCGGTCCAGGATGGGATCCTGCTGGCCACGGGGCTGCACGTGCACCGCAGCAGTGCCCACAGTGCCGGGGTGGGCTCCATCTTTGACAGGTAAGTGGCCCATTGCTGTCATCCCCCAGTGATGGTGGCCAGGCTGGCCCTGCCTTCCCCTCTGAACAGCAAGCATGGAAATAGAGCAAACCCACTGTGATTTGGGGCAGAAGTAGCTCAGAATGAGCAGGGTGTGTTTGACTGACTTAAAAAACAAGAATGGGGCAAAAGCATATTGGGAAGAGGTTTGCAGCTGCAGAAGCAGATCTTTTGGTTGGGTGTGCAGGGAGAGGGATGCTCTTCTCTCAAGAGTTTGCTGTGGCTGTATCTAGGCTTAATATTGATCACCCAGAGCTTTAGATGGCAAAGCCTTAAACCCCAGCTTACTTCTGTAACAACTACACACATATTGTCCCTGCCATGCCAGCTCCCTGCCTGGCAGGACACAAAATTGGCACATTGTAAGGACAGCGCCCACGTTTTGCTCTGCACAGTAAAAAGCAGAGAAAACCCGTGTGGTTTTCCTCAAGCGAGTGCAAATTGTGAGTGCTGCATGCTGAGCAGAGAACAGGAGCAAATCTGATGCTCAGATCCCTGGATGCTGCCGGTGCACATGTAGAACAGTGGCGTGGGGCATTGCTGTGCCTCAGAGATTCCTCTTCCTGAAGAGAKGAATTGCAGCTATTCCCAGTGCCTGTCCCAGGTGCTTTTCAGTGGAAAAATTGGTCTCTGATTATCTGCTCGCCCATGTTCCCYCACATGCAGGGTTTTGACAGAGCTGGTGTCAAAAATGAAGGACATGCAGATGGACAAGTCGGAGCTGGGGTGCCTGCGAGCCATTGTCTTGTTTAACCCAGGTGAGTCTGAGCCTGGGGACAGTCCCAGGTGACAAACACTGCCCCTGGGCCACAGCAGATCACAGGGCTGTGGCAGTGAGCATCGGGGCTGCAGAGAGATTTCATAGAATCCTAGAATGGTTTGGTTGGAGGGGAACTTGGGGATCATCTCATTCCAACAAATCCATTAGAACAGGATTTGTCCCAGTCCCTGGTACACATTACAGAGTGTGAGTCCTCCCCTGCCCATGCACACGGTCACTCTGCTGGCAGCAGAAAGATCCCCTGGGCAGAGAATTCTKCCCCACCTGCATTTTCTCCCACGTGCAGATGCCAAGGGTTTRTCCAGCCCCTCGGAAGTGGAATCGCTGCGGGAGAAGGTCTATGCCACGCTGGAAGCCTACACGAAGCAGAAGTACCCCGAGCAGCCAGGGCGGTGAGTGTCCCCGACAAGGCAGCACGATACGCACCCTGCAAAGGGATGTCTGTGCCCAAATCCCGAGCTTTTAGGGTGCCGGCCAGACGGGATTTTCTCGCTTTCCGATGCAATCCTACCCTCTGCTGGCCGAGCTCTCGCAGTGCCGGTAGCCGGGTCTGTCCCCGCCGAGCGGTGCGCCCGCAGCATCCCCCGCTGGTTTTTGGTTTTGACGGTCACCACCGACGCTGCGAGCGGGCTGTGAGCAGGGGGAACACGGAACGRGCTGCCGGCTGCACCCCCTTCCACCTGCGCCCCAAAACGGGAGGCATGACTGGCAGCTGAGRGGCTGCACACCCTCTCAGAGCGTGGGGATTTTTGAAGACAGATTTAAGTGGCACTGTGAAGATATAAGTCTGTGAGATAYTAGGATGTTCAAAACTTGGAGGGAGGATCTGGATGTATCTTCTTTTGTTTGTTTTTTCTTTTATTTTCCTTTTTTTTTWAAAGTTTCAAAGATGCCACATTCTGTTTTGGAAAGACACGTATTCCCCCGCATGAGGCGACAAATAATTGTCTTGAAAGCTTTGGGGAACCTAAGTCTGAGAATGTCCCAAAGCATTTTTTTTGGGAGAATTTGGTCTGGTGCAGAGTTAGAAATAGGTGAGAGAGGGCAGCCAGTGCCTCCCTYGTGCCTCTGACCCTGCTCTCTCCCAGGTTTGCCAAGCTCCTGCTGCGTCTGCCGGCGCTGCGGTCCATCGGGCTGAAGTGCCTGGAGCACCTCTTCTTCTTCAAGCTCATTGGAGACACCCCCATCGACACCTTCCTCATGGAGATGCTGGAGACACCCCTGCAGGTCACTTGAGGGCCTGGCCCCTCTCTGGCCAGCCCCTGACCCCCGTGCCCCTGCACAGCCTCCTGCCCCTCTGCTCTGAGCSTGTGAGAGCTCCAGAGATGTCCTCCGCCCTCCACCCCTCCTCGGTGGGATTGTCGTGGTTTTGTACAGCTGTAAATCACCCCCTCTAACCCTCCCTGGCCTGTCTGGGGGGGTCACAGATCCTCTGCCCAGCTAACCATCCCCCTGCCCCCCCTGTACAGATAATTGCTTTAAATTATTTTTTCATTCTCAATAAAAGTCAACAAAACAAATAAAATAATATGAGTGTGTTGCTGATTGGATCTGGCCAGAGCAGTGTCCCCTTTTGCTGCGGTCACAGGTCCAGCTTGGGATGGGGCTGAGGGTCCCTCCTGAGATTCCTGGGCAGCCCAAACCAGGGCAGGAATTCATTTGGGATATTGCTGCTCGTGCTGATGGACACAGTCCTCTGGCCAAGGAGGACAGGTATTGCTTCTTCTTGTTCCTGCTAARGAAAGTCCTAGAGAAGCTTGCTGCTTGGAATTAAAGCATTTTATTCTGCCATTTCAAAAAGAAACTCTTGGACTCTTTGAAATCTATATAGTTTTAAAGTAATTTTAAAAGTTTGGGGATTTTTTTGGTTGGTTGTTTTTTTTTGTTTTGTTTTTTGATTTTTTCTTTTGTTTGTTTTCTTTTCTTTTCTGAGCTAGTCTAGCCACTGATGAAAGAACCAAAGTGTTTCATTTTGGTCCATCCGGAGTATTTTGGGGTGACCCAGAGCTTGTGTGCTCATGGATAACTTTCATTTTCCTGAAGCTTCATGGTTCCTGTCGTTTTTTTTTTTTCCCTCCGTATTTTTGCTCTGGAAACAGGTTCATCAACCCCGAATTTATAATCTCACACTTCCCTGAGCGAAACCTGCAGGAAAGAAATAAAAGACACTCTAAGGAACCATCCTCCAAGGCCTGCCTGGTCCTTCCCCTGCTGCAACAGAGCTCCCCATCGCATCCGAGCTAACCAGAGTCAAACGAGTTAAAGACATTAATTTGTTCAATATGCGGCGCTTATCCTGGTGGGAAAATGTCCTCCCAGGAACCCAGCGAAACTGTCTGTATTATTATTCATAAAACAGGTGTAGTGTTAAGTGATCTGCCCCTCCTGACCCTCTCAGCAGACAGTGGGGTGAGATGCAGCCGCGCTTCGTCTGGCCGCGTGACAGATTGCGGCGCTGCCGGCTCGGGGAGGTTCGAGGGAGAGGAGGATGACAACGGGAAAGGAAGAAGGATAAAAATGAAACGTTTTGTTGAAGATCCCACACGGGGACATGATTCATTCTCCAGTATTTCACTGCAAGAAGGGGGAAAGAGAATTTAAAAGGACAGCAAAAAAAGAGGGAAAACCCCAAAATTATGAAAGCGCTTTCATTTTTTTCTTTTCCCCCTGAGAAAAAAACAGGGAGAGTTTCAAAAAAAAGGTGAAAAGCACTGGTCAAGGAGAGGTTTTTAACTGAAAAGTAATTTTCCATGAGAAGAGAAGTGTTTAAAGGCAGAAAACACACAACCTRCTCATTGTGAAGCTGTTGCTGGAGCTCACAGTTGAGGCTGTGCTGGGATGGGACCACACCACATTGCTGGTTAGGTGAGCGGAGAGATCACCTCCAGCCTGGGCTGCTCAGGCTTCTGTAAGAAATGCAAACTTCTAAGAGCTGGTCCCCAGCTGGCTGGGTTGGGTTTCTTTTCTGTTTGATGCTGATCTCAGTCCCATGTCTGTGGACAATCACTGCCTGTGATATTTTGATATTGGAAGTGGTGGGATGTGATAACCAAGGCTGGGCAGGAAGTCTCAAGGTGACCATTTGTGGTCATTTTGTGGTCGTTTTGCTGGACACCTTCACTATCAGCAGTCTGGGTCTCAGGGCTTGGGCCACAGGGTCTCCAGGCTGCAGCTCGAGCAGGGCTTTGTCCTGTTTCTCCTGATGATTTCTGAGGTTTTGGAAAAAATTGTGTGCTTAGCACACACCCCACCACACAATCCCCCACCCTGTGTCTGGTTGGGCAAAGAGACCATGACACTCAGTGTGGCTTCTGTGAATAAGACACTACTCGCTCATCTGAAAGTGCTGCTARCAGACAAATGTCCTGTGCAGAGGAAACAAGTCATGGAGCAACCCAGCTCTCTCAGCAGTCACTGGGGGCCTGAGGGTTGATGTAATCTCCTGGATTTGGTCCTAACCCTCAGATTCCTCATTCATGTTGTAGAACTCTATGCAGGGGTGTTGTCCAAGAGCTGTGCTTCCCCCAAGCCTTGCAAAGTGTAGGAGTGAGTCTCTGGACACCCCGAGGAACAAATCCCATTGCAGTCAGTAAGAACCCACTGGTGTGATTATCCTTCTGTGAGCTGCTGCAGAAGAGCAGCAGCTTGGCATAGCTGGATCTTCCCCAGTCTTCAGCCCTGCAAAACCCTAATTTTCATAAAATAATAGAAATCASGATCATGAATACGCCAAAGAAAATTTCACCTAGTCATTGGTCACCCCCTGAAACCCCTCAGAGCCACAGATTAAGCTCAGACAATTTTTCCTTGACTCTGGGTTTAATAAATTGCCCAAATTCTGGGATGACTGGTGCAAGGCTGTTTTCTCTTTACCATCCTGCACAACATCTCATGAGCTTCCCGAGTCAGCAGCAGGTCCTCCTCCACCATGGACAACCTTTGTTCTGGTGTAGAGGCCACAAATGTGCCAAAGCCTTTATCAATTCTAAGCTGCTCATTATGGAGGGCTTCAAAAAATAAAGGAGTTCTGGGTTCTGTAGCAGCTGCTTCAGTTTCTACTGAGTCCAACAACAGCAATTCTGGATTGAGAATAGAAAAAAAATCTCAAATTATAAAAGTTTAAGCTGGTATATGTTCAGTCTGACTCTGGGCTCCCTGATGGATTTAGGGGTTCTGTAGACCTGACATGACTTTCAGAAACCAGTGGTGTGACTCTAACTGAGARCCACCAACACTGGCCTTTCCTCAAGGATGTCTTGTCTGGACTGGGCCCCTGGACTGCCTTCACCATCACTGATCTCCCCTGGGATGTTCTCTTTGCTGCCTGATGTCTCTGCTCATCCCCTCTATGTCCATCCCAGCCCTTTTCTGGGAGCCTGGGGACGCTGTGCTGACTCTGTGCCTTTTGGAGCACCAGCGGGCACTGGGAGGAAGAGGAAGAGGATGCACATGGCGCTCCCCAGAACTGATGATAGCTGTGCAAAGCAGGGTATCCTCTTTTGGGGGACRATGGCTTTTATTCATGGCAAGGTACATGGTGATGGAAAGCATGGTAGAGAAGCCCTGATAAATCTCCAGGTGTTTTCAGCATGAGTGCACAAAGACCAACCTGCACCCAAGCGAGGCCAGTGGCTGCTAATCTGTATCTCTCTTCTCTCCCCATGCCCTCTGTGCCATTAACTCTGCTTGAGACAGGCTTGCTTTAGGGGATTTCAGTGGTAAAAATGAGGGGATTTTACCACCCCGGGGCTGTTTGACAGCACTGTGGCTGTGGGCTGGTCTCTGGCTTGCCTCTGTGCCAGGCTGGCCAGCCCAGCTGGCTGTGCAGCAGCTGATGCCTCTGAAGGGCTGGGAGGGTGGCAGAAGGAGAGGGAGGTGTGGTCCTTGCAGGGGTCAGTGGTGTCGAGGGATCTCTGTGGCGCTGGGCAGGGCTTTGTCTTCTGGGTCATGTTGGYTTGAGGCATTAGAGGCACCTTGATGATGCTGGCCCAGTGACTCCTGTGCCCGGGGAGGTGGCTCACAGCCATCTTCTTCCCTGCTTCTGGGGCCAGCCCTGCCTGCTCCGGGGTGTCTGCATCTGCTTGGCTGGGCAGAGTTAAGGTGATGCTGGAGGAGGGATCTGGGAGCCGAGTGCTGCTGATCCCCTTCCAGCAGTGAGCGGTGGGGACCTGCACAAAACGTGACAGCTGGGCAGCCCCAGCGGGGAGACGGCTGGGGAAGATGTGCAGCCCCTCTGCCAACGTGGTGGCCTTGTTAATTCGGTTGGCAGCTCCTGCTTAATTGCAGTTCTCCGACACCGCCCGGTTTTTGCAACACCTGGCTGCCTGCAGACTCCACAGCTAGGAGGAGAAAGCCTAGACCTGCTTCTTCTCTGGTTTAATTCCCTTCAGGTGCTGATGGTGTGGGCTTCTGYACCTGGTTCAGCCCTGGGTGAAGTAATCAGGGAAATGGTGCTCAGAGRATACGGTGAGCTGCTTGAAACACTTACCCCATGTTTTGCCCGTGGTAAAGGTGTGCTTGGGAAGTGAGGGGGTTTGGAGTGTATTTCTTGCATATTTTACTGGTTCARCTCGTGATCATCCTTTGCAGAGGCCAGGGGTGCTCCAGTACCTCTGACCCATGTGGGGGCTGGTGACAGCATAAATCACGAGCAGCAACACCCTGCTGCAGCCTCCTCGGTGTTACACACTCGACCCAGCCCTCAAACCTGATCCTATTTTCAAACAAATCCCAATCCTGGGAATTATGCACGAGAGCTGTGAGGTAAGGCAGTCTCCTGACCCTCCTGTATGGAGAAGAGGAGGACCACTATGGGGTGGCAACATCCAGGAAGGAACGACTTCCCTCCCAGCTGCTCCAGCATCTCTGAGCAGAGCAAATCGGGCGGGTGCTCTGGGTCTGTCAGTAAAGTGTCCTGCACAGGGACACAGTTTTTAGCGGTGCCCGTGGATGGTATTCCCACTCCATGAGGCTGCCACCCCCTGGCTGTGTGAGGGGAGCCTGCCCTGCCCAGCCCTGTGGGGAGGATGGATGGGATGGGAAGGCAGCGCTGGTTTGCACGGGCAGGGAGAACAGTGCGCGGTGCTTGGAGTCCTTGCTGGGCAGTCCTTGCTGGGCTGGTGCCTTGGCAAGGTGGCTACAGCGGATCTGGCTACTCAGACACTTGGCTGGAGCTGCGCGGGCACCTTCAGCAGAGCCAAAGACGAAGGTGTCAGAGCCCAGTGCCTCCGTGCTGCAGCTCAGCCTTCCGGGATGTGAGTGCTCAGAGCTGTTTCACACTGACCCGTGTGATGGTACCAGAGCTTTCACGCCCGAGCTCCGGGGGAGCTGTTATTGTATCCTGCAGTTATTGCGCGATACAATCGGGCTGTCCCAGGACCGTGCTTTCCTTCCCTCGGGATTTTCACAGGGTGCTGAGCTGCCCGTGCTAACCTGTGGCCTCTCTGCTTCCTACCAATTCCCAGATGGCCCGACCTCGCTGCCTGCATCACCCACGTCATGTGGGTGTGGGGAGCACTCGGTGACGAGGATGCCCCACCGAGAGGCTGGGAGCGCTTCTGCCCCTGGTGCCAAGGTCAGCGGTGAACACGGGAGGTGAGGCCCCTAAAAGCCTCCCATCCTCCACGATCCTATAGCGGGTCCCTCGCAGCTCTGCGGCCGTTTCCCCGCTCGCCGGCCGGAGACGGGGGACCCAGCCCTCCTCCGTGCCGGGGAAGCCGCAGCCCCCTGTCCAGGCTGCTGCTGCAGCGGCAGGTAGGCGGCCCCAGCCCCACTGCGGACCGCTCCGACCTGCGGTCCGGGAAACTCCCCGCAAAACAGCGAACCCCCCAAGCAGGAGGGAAGGGAGAGCCGGGCAGGACGGCAAAGCGCCGGGGCTGCTGGAAGGCTCCAAGTTTCATCTTCCTCGGCCGGGCGGGATCGTTGTTCCGCGGGTTTCCCCTCCCCGAAACCGATGCGGTTTGGCGGAGCCGGAGCTTYGCTTCCCCGGGGCCGCCTTCCCCTGCGGCCCCACGGAACGGGCGCCCGGAGCGGACCGAGMCCCGCACGGCGCCAGGGATCACAGGCGACAAGCCCTCCGGGGCAGCTCTCCGGCTTTGGTTTTGGGATTATTTTTGTTGTTACTTCTTTTTCTGTTTCCCTCCTCCCAGCTCTCATTTTCCTTGAACACTCCGGAGCAGCGGGAGCGAGGCGCCCGGGGCGATGCACAGCGCGGGGGAGCGCATCCCCGCCGGGGACCGCCCCGGCCATGGGACCGGCTGTCTCCAAAAACTCCCGGCCTGGGCTCCTCCTGGAAGGGGGAATTGATTTCCAGCCGGTTTCGTTACTGGGAGAGACGCTGTGGTGGGGCACCACCCTTTACTTTTTTTTTTTTTTTTTTTTTTTTTTTTTTTTTTTTCTTTTTGGCTTTCTAAGAAAAGAAGGGAAAAAAGGCAGGGAGCGGAGCGGAGCCGGGACGGCGAGGCCGGGCCGTGCATCCCGGAGCCGGGAAGGGCCGCCGGCCCCTCGAGGCGTGGCGGGGCCGGTGCCTGCAGCCAGGCAGGAGAGCGGGGAGGAAACTTATTTCGAGTGGGGTGGAGAGGGGAGGGCAGGGGGTGGGGGTCGGGCAGGGAGGTATCAGCTCCAGGAAATGTGCCTTGGCACCAGTCGGACGGGCGCTTCCCCGCAGGTTGGTGCGCTCCTCTCTGGAGCCGTCCAGGGAGCCGCGGTTCGCTCCGCACCCCGGGGAGCGCCGGCGGCGGGGAGGCGGGGGGGGACGGGACAGCCGGRGAGGCAGGAGCCGCCGCAAGACCCCCCAGGAGCGGTGGCTGTGGACGCCTCTCCCGCCGGCTCCTCGCAGGAAGGCACCGCCCGGGCCGCCCCAGGTAAGCGGCCGAGCCCCGCCGACGGCAGCCCCGCATCCTCCCGTCCGCGGCCGCGGGGACCGGGGCCGGTCGCCCCCGCACGTCGGCGCCCTGGGRCTGGGGGCCTGCTGCGAGCCCGGCTGGGGTGAAGGTTGTGCAGCCTCTAACGGGGGCCCGAGGGGTTCTCCCGTTGGGAGGGAGCGGGCGGGCAGCCGGGGGCGGCGGGGCCGGGCTGAGCGCGGTGTGTCCGGGCTGTGTTGGCAGGCGGGCGGCGCGGCCCCTCTCCCGGCCCGGCTCCCCACCATGCTGGACGGGCTGAAGATGGAGGAGAGTTTGCAGAGCGCCCTGGACCCCGCGACCCCCTTCTCCTCCTTGCTGGGTAAGTCGAGGCACCCCGCTCGCCCTCCTGGGGAGCCCACAGGGCGGGGCACGGCCGGGCGGGCCCGGCCGATGGGCTTGGGAGGTTCGGGAGGCCGGGGGCCAGCTTTCCCCGGCTCGTCCCTGCACGCAGCCCTGCCCGGCGCCGCTGCCTTCGCCCGGGGAGTGCCCCCGGCGCCCGCCTCCCCTGCTCCCAGTTCGTATCGAGATTGCATCAAATTGTGTGTCCCCCTAACCCCCCCTTATAACGAAGGGCTTTCCTTCGTATCGAACAATAAATAATTCATTTTTTCTTTTTATCTTCGTTTTAATATCGGTTTCAAACAGCCGCCCCTCTCCCYGAGCTGCGGCTCCGTTGCCGCCTTTCCAAGAGGAACGAAATTGGGGGCGATGTGCCCCCTTCGGAGCTGCCCTAAGGCACAGGTCCCTCCTGGATCCCGCAGCAGCTCCCCGCACACCCCCGTCCCCCCGCGACCCACGAGCCTGTGCGGGGGAAGCGAGAACCGCGGGTCCCTCCGTCCGTCCCTCGCCCGGCCCGTCTCCCCGGCCGCCTTCCCCTCCGCCCACCCCAGCCCCCGGCTCCTTCCCCGCAGGCAGAGCCGCGACCCCTAAGTCGGTGTGCGAAGGGTGTCAGCGAGTGATTTTGGACCGGTTCTTGCTGCGCCTGAACGACAGCCTGTGGCACGAGCAGTGCGTCCAGTGCGCGTCCTGCAAGGAGCCCCTGCAGACGACCTGCTTCTACCGCGACAAGAAGCTCTACTGCAAGCTGGACTATGAGAAGTAAGTGTCGCTTTGCCCCTCGGGGAGCCCCCCTGGCTCTGTCCTCGCCGCCCACAGAGCCCCAGTGCCCTTCGAAAGCTCGTGGGGACGGGTGTCCCGCTGCTGCTCGCACTACCCCTGCCCTGTGTGTCCCAGGAGGTGCCAGCCCTTGCTGTGCTGCGCGGCGAGTTGTGCTTCTCTCCCGCAGCCTCGTTGCACCCCGGTTCTCCCCTTTTTAGAGGTGTTTCGTTGTGCTCGGGTCGTGCCTTGGGAATTGAGGATGTTTTGTTGGGAGCCTGGGAGAACCACGGTACCCCCAGGTCTGTGCAGGGACGGGGCCAAGCATTTTTCCGTCTCCTCTGGCTTTATTTTCCTATGGAGCATCTGCAGGAGGAAAGTTATATCCTCCCTGACCTGGGATTCTGGACAAGACTATTTTCCTAATATCCTCACAGGCAGGGCAATGCTATTGGTCCCCCCGGTTGGTGGGGAAACTGAGGCACTCGGGAAGGCCCCGCTGAATTTGGAGTGTTGACTGTCACACAGAGACTTTGCCTCCACCCGGGTCTGTGATGGTGAAGAAATTTGAATGTAGGTGGTTAAAGCTCCCAGTCCTGACGCTTCCCCTTTGACAAAATGTGAGGCTGGGGGGAAAGACAATGATAAAATTATCTTTCTCTTTTAAAAGAAAAGCCATTCCAGTGGGAATGGGGAGAAAGCTGCTGAGTCTTTCCTCTCCTGCAGCTGCTTTCGTTTTTTCCTGCTCATCCTGCTCTTGCTGTCCTTTCTGGACCCCACGCCCTGGCCGAGTTTTGGAGCTGTTATATTTTTGTTGCCTCCGGGCTGGTTGTTTCTTGAGGAGGGTGTAGGTGGGGGGCYGGATCCCTCGCTATGGCGATAGCACGGCTGTGGGAGCCCCGAGATTTAATTCTCCTGTCACTGTTGCAGGAGAAAACAGTATCACTGTTGATGCTCCCGTCCCTGGCCTTTGGCGAACTGGAGAGCGTGCCGGGGGCTAGCCCAGCTCCAGGCCTTTTTAAAGTCGGGCTTTTGGGGTWTTTTGGTTTTTTTCCTCCTTTAAATCCCGTATTGTGGKTCTGAGTTTAATCACTATGGATACAAGGCAAATTGAAAGCAGAATTTGTGCGCGTGACCTTGTTTTCAAATGTTTACGAAAGAGCGGAAGAATTAGCTGCCGTGAGAGTGGGAAGGAGAGAGCTGYGCTACGGGGTGGGTTTTTGTAGGCAAAAATTTGCCGAAATTGGGTGCGCTGCTTGTTTGTAGAAATTTGGCTACTCGTTCCCGTACATTTCCAATGCAATTTATTCTCATTTTCTGCTTTAATYGATGTTTCCATTTGGAGCATCAAGGGGAAATCGGGGTGAATTTTGCCCAGAAATGCCTTTCCAACTTGCARTACATGTGGATTTTACTCTTGACTGCAGCTTGCGAGCTCTTGAAGTGGCACCAGCCTGAGACCCTTCTCTGATATCTGTTGGCCACGACAGAAATCGGTGCTGCCGATGGCTTYTTGCTGTGCCCATCTATCTCACTGTTGGGATGGAACAAGGATGATTGCAGGGAAAAAATGTCACAAATTTTTCTTAGGGCCCAGTGGTAGCGCTATTTATCCTGGATTTTTTTTTTTTTTTCCCGGTTGTGTTTGGGCTGGTGACTTTTGCCTGAGCCRGGGAGCAGGCTCTGCGACGGGAGGTTTCCCCGAGGTGTGATGGTTTTAGCTCTGAGTCACAGCTGGCCTCTTCCCCTCCTGCATYTTGCCATCRTATTATTGTCCCCYTGAATTTAATATTAATTATTTCAGYRCGGRGYTGTGGGTGTGTGWCCCTTCTCCTTTCATYCCCCGGCAGGATTCTGCTGTGCCGGTGGTGCGATTCCTTACCTGGTGATGGTGAGGATGCAGAGCAGAGTCCCAAAGAACTGTTCCCTCTGGGCTCTGCCGAGCTTTATATCACGCTCTTCATTCAACAAAAATCCCTATTTCTTCTCCCAAATGCCTGTCCTGTCTTTGGGCAGAACATTTTCCTGGGTGCGGGAGCGTTGTGCCCGCCTTGGCTGCGGTGCCGATGCCGGTAGCAGGGATTTGAGAGCGAAACACGSGGAGCAAGAGCTCTCAGGCTGAGCTCATTATCTCGAGCTGGTTAATTATCACAAGTGACTGACACTCCTTGYGGTGGAAAGCGGCCGCTCCTCCTGGCGGCTCCCGGGCTCCGGAGGCCTCTCCGTCGGCAGCGCGGAGCTCGCCGGGTGGGAGAGCTGCGGGTGTCAGGGAAGTGGTCGGGATCCGACCTGCTGCTGTCACAGTGTTGTGGGGCTGTGCTTGGTTTTGGTTTTTTATTTTTTTTAAATTGAAAGAAGGGATTTCTCTTCCAGATGTGAGTGCTGGGGTGTTTTCCCAGGGATGAGTAGGTGCAGAGTTTTCCGACRCGTCTCTGCACTCTCTGTTTGAGCTCCGTTCGTAACAAGGCCGCCGAGGGTTAATGACAGCAGAGTTATGCCTTTAGTTATAAATACACCCATGGAAAGTGTTACAGGCGGATTTAAGCGAGCATCTGACTCGCTGGACTCTAGAAATCGAGCAATAATTTGTTAAAACACATGTTTTACATTCCTTTGTCTTTTATAAAGAGGAAGAACTTGGGAGAGGRCTTGSAAAGGGATGGRTTAAAGACCRAGGATRCCAGGTCAGGTCTGGGCATCTCTTYGGGGTGCCACGGCTCAGGACCCTTGGGCAGTTCAGATAACGATGCTGTCTGGGGACTCAGGTAGTGGGGGGTCACTCTTGGGGCAGTTTCTTTCCCCAGTGCTGACAGGGAGGACTCCAGGAGAGGGATGGCTCAAGCCCGTGCCCCTGGGATGGCGTCTATTTGGAGCAGAGGACGTTCGTTACAGAACATCCCGAATCCCGCGGCAGCCCCCGGCGCTTGTCCAAACCTGATAAGTCTCAACTATGACAAGGTTCAGTCTTCGCCCTGGCTGGCTCCCCGATTGCAAAGTGGCCCAGGGGATGTGGCTCGGCTGTGGGGCCCCTGTGGCGGTGCTCAGGGGGTCGGCAGATTTTGTGATGGCAGATTTGGGGGGGGCAGCACCATACCTGGCTGTAAATGGTGAAGAGTGCTGGAAACCATGGGAAGAGTAGGGCTTCTGTTGAGCGTTAAAATCTGTGTGGGGACGGGAATTGTTGAGCCCCCTCTTGCCTAGCAGTGCTTCACAGTAGGTTTGCATGGGCCAAGCAGGGCCGTAGGGCAGACCTGGAGGCACGGCAAGATCCCCAGCGCAGGTTCTGGGGGCCGGACACGGCGCTGACAGCGGTGCGGTCATGACGGGGGGCGCAGCTGGGGAGCGTGGCGACGGCGGGACGGCTTGGCACGTCCCCAGCCACGGCGCAGAGCCCCGGCCCCAGCCCCGGCTGGCAGGAGCAGATGGCCAGCACATCTCGGAGCAGGCCTGGCATGTGGGCGCCGGCAGCGGAGGGGCGGCTGCAGCCCCCGAGCYGGGCTCTCCCCGGCCGAGACAGGCAGTTGTGTGATGCTCGCCCTGTCTTTGCACGGTGTGATGGCTCTGTGCTGCTGCCAGCTTCTGTGCCATCCTCGCAGAGCTCTCCTTGCCGGCCTCCAAAACCCCAGGGTCGTGGGATTGAATGGGTGACTCCATTCTCCTCCTCCGTGAGTTAAAAGGTGAAGTTCCATCTGGTTGCAAAGAAGAAAAATAAAAATCCTTTTGCCGTACCAGTGTGCACACAAAGGAGCACGCGTGCAAAGGAACTCATCAATGTTGGGTTTGGAAATCACRCCCAGTGCTTTTGAAACACCTGTAAAACAGGGAGAACCAGTGTGCATCATTCAGGGATGAGCCTGAGTTCCCATGCCAGGCCGTGGATGGATCTGTGGGCTCGGGGCAGCTCAGCCTCCTCTTGCCCACTGGAGCCTCCTCTGGCAGCTGCCGCCGTCGAGGAGAGAGGGGGAAGAGGTTTGGAGTGTGATGGCTGTTGGTCTTGCCTGAYGTGGGTAATGAATGTGATTGTGCAATTAGCTGCCAGCCCCARCGCTGCTCCYCYRGCCYRGAAGGGCTGGRAGGGGWACAATCCCAAATGGATCAAAKGAAGGTGSTRCTGGACACTTGAGCACAGCCTGGTCCCACCAGCTGGAGAGTTTCTGTGGTCTGGTGGATTTGTCCTGGTGGTSTGCAGTCCTTTGCCTTCTCTCATTTGGAGAAGCGGGCTTTTTGTGCTTTCTGTGGCTGATGGGAGGGAACTATTCCTCCAGAGAGCTATGGGTCAGCCCAGGTTCAGTGCAGCACGTCCTCTTGTAGGGCATCCTATGGAGAGGACTTGGCTAACTTGGGTTTCTGCAGCTGGCCAGGCAGTGGGGGCAGTCAGGCTGGCCTGGATGGGGTGGCACGGCACATGCCAGCTCTGTGGCACCACGTCCCTTGTGGTGGTCTCTCTTGTCCCTTCCCTCAATCTTCCCACGTTCCCTGCCTGCTCTCCATGCCCACTAGCACCTSATCTCCTGCAGCAAGCACCTCTCTGCCCTCACCCACAACTCCTGGGGATGGGTGGGATGAGTGTAGCTGTGGGACAGGCAAATCTGGCCTCATCCCTACCAGGGATGCTGTTTTTGGTACACTTGGGCTGGGACCGGGTGCCGCTCCTTTGTTTTTTTATTTTTATTAATTATTTATTTTTATTAAGTCACCTTGTTGGGGCGGTGGGGATGGGATGGCAGGGAAGTGGTGGGATGCAGGGAGAGGGGCATTATGGAGATCCACGCTATGGGATCCAAACTGGAAATGCCAGGCAAGCAAAACAGGCCTTGCCTCCATCTCCACCAAGCCCTGTCCTCTCACTCGCGGGGCTCCCCCTTTCCAGAGGGAGCAGAGAAGAGATTTGGCGCCCTGCCCCTTCTCTCTGCCCTTAGTTAGATTTATCTTACAATTAACGTTCCATAGAAAGGCCTGGAAGGGAGTGATGTTGGCAGATTGGGAGCAAAGCAGTCGAATAA